CGGCTCCCTGCCCATTTGTCCAGCCCGTGGCTCCGCTCCTAATTGCACACCCGAGACCAAACCTCGGCCCCGTCTCGAAGGGGCGAGAGGCCATGGCACCGTGTCCAGTGAGCCTATTTCTTCTAGGCGTTTCTTTCCCCAACACTTTAGCTTCAAAAACGATTCCCTGGTTTTCAAATCCATGACGCCTCTGTTGTTCAGTGACCATTTTAATTCTCTGAAAACACATGAGGGGCCTTGAGCTTGTCGCTAGCAAGATGTCACCAGCCACGGGGTAAAATAATCAAGAATTTTGATACATACCAACCGCTTTGAAAGCGAGCACCAAATGCCCTCAACTCCCCCATCTGCCTGGCAAACACAAAGGTTAAAAATTGTTTCTCTTCCCGAAAACAGTCACTCACTCAATTGAATTAATTGATTTAAAAAAAAACAATGTGCATATAGAGACATAAGCTTGACTGGATAGGTTTTATTTATTTACTGTTTCGTGGCTGGTTTTGTTTTGTTATATACTTGGTCACAGCTGGGTCTGCTAGCTGTTTTCCATTTTAATTACTGCTCCACACCACATTTCCAAGACTCCCAAACTATGACATAGGCTCTTTCACGATACAGGTTGATCTAAAAACAGGTAGCCGCGACCCTGAACGTAGATGCTTCCGGTGGCCTCTCTTTAGATACTTTCTCTGCTAAGTTCTGCTGTCATGGGAATTCCCTCCATGGGAATGCCCTCGGTCCGATTGGAGTTGGCAACGTCTCCAGGCACTGCCTGGCTTTCAGGGTTTGAAATACGGCCTGTGGGAAGACCCAGAGTCAGAAGGTCGGGATTCCGGTCCCTCCTCTGTCACCTACTGGCTTATGTGATCTTGGATTTGCTTCTCACCCCTCCAACTTCCTCATCATGAGCCTTAAACAAGACGGAAGGAAGGAAGGAAGGAAGGAAGGAAGGAAGGAAGGAAGGAAGGAAGGAAGGAAAGAAAGAAAGAAAGAAAGAAAGAAAGAAAGAAAGAAAGAAAGAAAGAGCAGGCAGAGGTGTTTCAGGAAACTTCAAACCATGTTATGAATGCAAAGGAATTTGGTCATTAACAAGCTCTCCTTTCTGAACTCTGTGCTCAAGGTTGTACTTGGTTTGCTGACACGACAGGAGCCCTGCATATTCTCTCTCTCTCTCTCTCTCTCTCTCTCTCTCCTTTATCCAGAAGTTCATTCTTTGTTTGCCACCTTTCTGCCAAGCAGCACCAACACCCTCCCCTGGGAATCATTGCCTCTGCATTTCCCCCTCCTGATGCCAGAGTGGCTGTTGACAATGCGTAGCCAGGCAAGGCCGGGCCCCCTGCCTCTCACTGTCAGATGCCACGCACGCTGCTTCCTGCTTCTGTCAGAACAATGAGCATTCACCCCGGCTTTACCCGGGAAGACCTGCGGTGAGTGGTCGGTGTAAATTATAGATGTGTCTGTCTAGCTGGACCTACTCATTCATGCAGAGATTGGGGGGCGGGGGGGAGGTTCATTCTTCTCGGTGCCTAACAGTCCCTAACACATCTGCACTTACACAATATAATCTAGTACATTTTTCATCGATGTTATTGTGCCCCTCCACTCACATCATCTTTGAGGCATTTGAAGTTGACTAGGGGCGTTTCTGGCTTATCCCCGCCCCCTTTCCCGGGAAAATCCGTTATCTTTATGAATCGGTAGGAAATACAGACGTTTAACCCAAAATAAACACAGTAGGATTTCTTTTCGTGTGTGTGTGTGTGTGTGTGTGTGGGAAGGGGTCGACCTCAGCGAACGCACCTCAATCAGATTGATCAAGTTTATTGTCAAAGACACATCCTTTCCTTTGCTGGCCGGGCCCTTCCATGCCTTTAAGCAAAGCAACGTGGAAATAAACAAAGTGGACTATTAATACTCTCTGCTCCAAATGGGCAGATTGTTTATTTTGTTCCATATTTGTTTTAATGAGCAGCTGGAGGAAATGCCAGGGCATGCTGCTCGATACCATAAAAGACCCTGTATCATTGCTTGAAACATATTAGCTTAATTGACTCCCTCCACTCCAGCGGGGAGGGTCTGTATTGGAGCAGTCTATTTACTCGCTTCCATAAAAGTCTCTGGGTACACATACACCACTGGGCATTCTTCCCGAAACTAAATGAATCACGGCGGAACAGAGCCGTAAACAGCCAGCGTGGCCGAGAGGCTCAGGGCCCTCGCGAGGAAGCCGGGAGGGGCGCCTGTGGACGGTCCGGAGAGCAGATCCCACGGCAGTGGCCCTCCTGCAGCCTTTCCAGGAAACAGGCCGCCTTTCCCCTGCGCTTTCTGCCAGACAGAGGTCGATACCGGCTTAACCTCTGGCTTGGTTTTGTTCTGGGTCCCAAATGGGGCCCCAACATGATGGGGAGAATAGGCACACTCCCTCAGAACTAATTGCAGGGAACCCCACAAAGCGTTCCAGGTGGTGGCAGCCCCATGTCAGCGGCCCAGGTGTAGGTTTCGATGTGGGTGCAACCTCTCTCTCTGGGAAATATCCAGACGGGGTCTCCCATGCCTGGAACCGGGAGGCCACACATCCTGGTACCACGAAGCAACGAGGAAGACAAGAGGAAGGCTCCTGAACATGACGCCCCTTGTGCATGGAGGTTTTGGTTTTTTGTTTTGTTTTTCTGCACAAGAAGAAAATAAGCTGGGGTATCTTCAGAGCCCTACGCCCCAAGTTACTTCACCACTGTTCTTCCTCCTCCTTCTCCTCTCTTTTTCTTTTGAAACATCATGTTGCTTTCCTCTAATCCCAGACAGCAAAGCCTAGAGGGAGGCCTGCAGGCCCTGTGCACGCATCGAGACCGCAGGGATCTTATAAATCAGCTGAAAATCAATACATACTATGTGGTAGTTTCTCCTTTGCAACCAGATCGCCAGGGGACAGAGCTAATGCTTTTTCTCCACCACCATCCCCATTTTTCTGTCGTAAAAAAAAAAAAAAAAAAAAAAAAAACCTGCTTGGGAACGAATGGGCAATCTAAGTTGCTGAGTAAGGGTTTCAACTACCTAATTTTATTACGTTACAATTGACATACCTTCCCTCTGGAAATGTTTGCAATTAATTAATTAGCCGTAATCTTCCCCCAGGGACTAATTTAATGAATTCTCTCCAATTCTCACTTTAAAAAAAAAAAAAAAGCTTAATGTCACC